CAAACTTCTTCTCAAACTTGTTGTTCGTCGCTTCGTCCATGATGACGGTAGTGGTTAGAAATCCATCCTCATTAGCCTCGGATTCGTGTACTACTGCTTGATGATACAACCAACTAGAAGGATAAAGAATAACGGGCTTGCCTTGTGAATGAATGATGTGTTTTGAGAAGAAGACTACATCGCGGGCGTAGAGTGCATCTCACGGCCCCCTCACAGACCAAATTACATACATTTACTGTATTTTATGGGGGTCCTTCTCCGCCCGGGTTATAGTCATCATATGTATCTTGGATGCTTTACGTTTAAAAGCCATTCGCAAGGCTTTTTTCCCCAATCCTTCTACTTGTAGTTTGAAACAATCATTAACCGTAGAGTCTGTACGAAAGTGAAAAACTCATGTTTTTGATTAATGCAACGGCCTCAACAAAAATTTCAGTGCGATACGACAAGCTAAAATATTCTTTCCCCCGCGCCTGACTTATAGAAGTTTAATTATTTTGAAGTGTCCCTTAACCTGATTTTCGAGTATCCCCTACCTAATTTAGGAACTTGTCCCCTATCTGATTTTGCAGATTTTCCTACTTGAATTTGAGTATCCCTGCCTGATTTAATCCCTTAACCTGATTAAGGAGTTTCCCCTAACTGATGTAAAATATCCCTTAACTGATTTCAGAGTATCCCATACCTGATTTAAGAGTATCCCTTAACCTGATTTAGGACTATTACTTACCTCATTTAGGAGTATCCCTTAATCAAGCTTGACTTGCGGAATAATGGTATAATCTACGAATGAATATTTCCTTTGAAAGTAATATTACTATGGGATTTTGCACTGTATTCATGTCCATAGAGATGCCATAGTTTGCGTTCCACTCTCAACGTATGTTTAACTATTGAAGGCGTTCAATCAAGAACAAGCGCCAAGTAAACACAATGCAGTTTTTTACGGTCACACACCTTTTTTTAATAAAATGCTGATGCATTTTAAAGCTTTAAACATGCATTTCACTTCAGACATAAATGTGTATTATCGAGATAAAATGTCTGCAAACTTCTTCTCAAACTTGTTGTTCGTCGCTTCGTCGATGATGACTGTAGCGGTTAGAAATCCATCCTTATTAGCCTCGGATTCGTGTACTATTGCTTTATGATACAACCAACTAGAAGGATAAAGAATAACAGGCTTGTCTTGTGAATGAATGTTGCGTTTCGAGAATAAGACTACATCTCGGGCGTAGAGTGCATCTCACGGCCCCCTCACAGTCTAAATTACATACATTTACTGTATTTTATGGGGGTCCTTCTCCGCCCGTGATATAGTCATCATATGTATCTTGGATGCTTTACGTTTAAAAACCATT